TGAACTAGAACATCATGTAGCCATTCGACGAGAGCAATGTCGAAAGTTGGTGCTAGGTAAGAACAACCGGTGATTCTCGCAGAACTAAAGTAATCGAACACCATTGTCTGTTCGCTGGGCGGGAAGAGCGGAGTGTCCTCCTAGATACAATATGGCTTTTGTTAGGTCGAAGATCTGATCATTTCTGGAATGCCAAAGTAGAGCTCAGTCAAAGTCCAGTTTCCTGGTCCTCTGTGTTGGGGATTCGACTCGACATGTTATCCCAGTCAGTAAAAATGATGGGGAAGTAATCGATCTAAATATATTGGCTTCCACTTCGCCTTACCAGAGGCCTTACGGTCACATTCTTGTCTGAACTAAAGGCTTTGGTCATGAATCATAAACGCTCAGTATCACACAGTGCATAAAGCCCCAATGAACACTATAAAATGAATTCCATGCTTCATCGATCGTCGCGCAGGATAATCAGGAAAGCGCTTCCCATTGCGTCTGACAGGGTGGACAGTGATAAGTGAGGGTACTGCTCAGACAGTCCAGCCGTCTCTCTTTGCCCCTTCTTCCTACCCGAAACATTCCACCAGACAATTTGTTTTTCTCTAAAAACATCGCGTTGCACCGTAAGCAGTTTTCTACTAAGTAACTTACAGATTCTGGAGCTTCTGAAGGCTAGCCAGTGGTATTCGGTCTACAGGAGTTGGTCAAAACCGTGTTCCTGAACCGCCCATACATAGTAAAAGAAGCTCACAGCTGCACCAGTCCTCGACCCAACCCCGAACCGGTTTCCAAAGTGCATCTTTGGAGTCGACCACCATGACTTTCTTATGAAAACTGTATGCTGCATCTTCATTTATTCGTAACAACTCTCTATTTCACTCTTTACTCTGTTTCCCTTGGTTCTACAGGTGTAGATTGATGTAGCTGATCGTTATCCTCCTCAGCAACTGTTTCAGCAGTACCGTGTCACTCGGCGCTTACCTTTCCTTTGCTCTGACTTCATTCGGCGTTCGAAGTGGTTTCGCCCAACGTAAGAGCTATAATGCGTATAGGGAAACGAACAGGTATTTCTCGTACTTTAGAATGTTTAGAGATTGATGTTTATTGTCTTGGAGACACGTATTTACCATCCAAACCTAACAGTCCAGTTAACATTTTCCTCCAATCCAAAAGAATCGCTTCATGTTCACCTTTCCCGACTCTGTTTCCCTTGGTTCTACTGGTGTAGATTGATGTAGCTGATCGTTATCCTCCTCAGCAACTGTTTCAGCAGTACCGTGTCACTCGGCGCTTACCTTTCCTTTGCTCTGACTTCATTCGGCGTTCGAAGTGGTTTCGCCCAACGTAAGAGCTATAATGCGTATAGGGAAACGAACAGGTATTTCTCGTACTTTAGAATGTTTAGAGATTGATGTTTATTGTCTTGGAGACACGTATTTACCATCCAAACCTAACAGTCCAGTTAACATTTTCCTCCAATCCAAAAGAATCGCTTCATGTTCACCTTTCCCGGGGGCCCTATCACATTAGCATCTGATCAAGCAGACGTTGGTATTGCCTGCATGCCCAATCCATCACGACGAGACTGCATCTTGACGTGGTATAATAGCTTGCGTGCCTCCATGACCCTGAGGGTGATGCAAGATGCCGCTTCACAGCCGCATATCCAATCATACCTGAAAGGTCAATGGGTAGAGGCCCAACGAAGATCAGTCTCACGAGGCCAGCTGCTTGGGCACCTCCGGGCTTCCCTTGACTATCCACTCCCGCCCCTGGAGAGGTCACTCCAGCAAAAACACTGGAAGGGCAGTATACCGGTCAACCCCCCGCTAGATGGACGTAGGTGCGCGGTACCTGGGGTTTCCTCTCAATGGTGGGAGAAGCCTTCGCACTTTACTGGATAGCTACCGCCCGTCAAAGCTGAGCAGTCTCCAGACAACGAAGTGCTGTCCCGTCCACGTTCCGCTTGTCTCATTGGGTGCATGAGACTAAGGGCGGATCCCGAAAAGCGGACTGTCAACCAACGCACCAGCGAACAACACTAAACGGAAACCCGAAGGCCTTGCATGACAGGTCTCCAGAAGCTCCCACACTGGTGCTTCGTTTACGCTCCCGCGTTGGATTTACGCCCCACTGCCTTGTGGGTCAGACTTTTGAGTCAAAGGCTCCGTTTAGGATTCGCGAAGAGAAACCCCTTCATCGGTGTGGGCTACCGCAAAGTGTGTCGTGCCTTACAGTGTTGGGTATGCATTTGGTACTGGGAAGTAATAGAGCAAGTGGATACGTTTTGTTATTTGGGCAGCTGCCTCCCTCCCGGTAGATGCACCACGGATGAAGTGTCGGTTCGCATACACAAGGCTCGGTTGGCATTTGCCAACTTGAGACATCTGTGGCGCCGTCGCGACATCCGGTTGAGCTCGGTTGGCATTTGCCAACTTGAGACATCTGTGGCGCCGTCGCGACATCCGGTTGTCTGTGAAGCGTCGAGTATATGCTGGAGCAGTTGGACCTGTGCTGGTCTACGGTGCGGAGACTTGGCCACTACGGAAACAGGATAAAAATAGATTATCGGTGTTCGAACACTGCTGTCTACGCCGCATTGCACGAGTATGGTGGAGTAACTGCACTAACAATGCTGAGGTTAGGCGTAGAGTTTTAGATAGTCGCGGTTGTCCACTGGAGCAGGTAGTCGACCTCCATAGATTAAATTGATTGAGGCATGTGTTACGCGTCATCAGATAGGTTGCCACGGCGAGGAGGCAGGGAGCGGTTGGAAAAAGGTCAAGGGTGGTCAAACGAAGACCTGGCATGAGTTTATGAAGTACCTAATCAGGAGACTGGGTCACAGTGCCCGTGAGGCTCCCTGCCTGGGGACCTCGGGATGACCGTAACCGATGGTTAGAGACACTGAGTGAAATGGCTGGGTGTCGCAAACAGTGGCGCTCATTCATCTGCTCATTATTGTTTTAACACCAGTCTATATCGATTCTCTATCTTCCGCTGGAATTGGCTTTAAAAATTGCAATTTTCATCCTTCTCTTCTATCCAAATGGGCGGCCAAAAGACAGCAACCAAAACCGGTGCACCAAAGTGCATGGTTAATGGTTGGAAAAACTGATCTAAACTGAACCTGGATGGGAATCTCGGGATTATTATAACTGATGGTCAGAGGCACTAAGCGAAATGGCTGGATATCGTAAACAGAGGCGCTTGTGCATATGTTCATTGTTTTTTCGATGTTATTGCTCGTGATTTCTGTGCTATCACATTGTATTTGGTCTGAATGCCCCACTATTCGTTCTAGTAGGCACACAAAAGACGGCAACCCAATTCTCCACAGGAAAGTTCATGGTTGCAGGTTGTAACAACTGAATTATCATAGGGGAAATAAGGCTATACATCAGTGGTATGTGAACGACTGTACACAATTTTCCTGGAAGCACACACACTGTTTTACGATGATTGTCGTTTATCAGGTATACATATTTGGTAACATCTCATTCAGCGATTCCTATACTTGAACGCTAATGGTATATTTTCTTC